TGTGTGTGTGTGTGTGTGTGTGTGTGTGTGTGTGTGTGTGTGTGTGTGTGGCAAAAAGAAATGGTATGCCATAGTGGACAAATCAGTAGTTTCATTGAGTCGTCGGGGAGACCCAGGTTGCTGGACTTCCTGCACGCCTGTCTGCCTCCATCATGCTCATGTGAGCAGCAGGCGCTCCCCGGGATGTGCTAGGTTATCATTCACCACCAGAGGCCAACGCATGTAGAGCAGCAGAATGCTCTCTAAACAGTGTTTTCCCCCTCGTGTGAGGAAAGACCAGAAGTATTTGTGTTCGTGTGGGCGTATGTTAATGTCTTTGTGCATCAGCCTGTGTGTTCAGAAAAGAGAAACTGTTTGAGAGAGTGAGCAAATAAGCAAGCAAGAAAGAATTCCTGTTTCTGAGTGATCGGCATCCCATTGAGGGTGTGTTTATGTTCATTTTCTTTTCGCACGTTTGAGCTAAAACTATGTTTCACAATCGCAGAGTGGTAAGGTTCTGTCACCTTTTTGTAGTTATTCACCATGTTATAAATATACACTGACATTCACAGTGCTCAAATAATCCCTGGTACTAAATCAACTCACTGGTCACTTCTGAAACATTTATTCATTATTAATTCAATACGACTGTCTTAGATCACGTGACATGCAAAAACACACGATGGTGTGTCAGACAGAGTGGGACTATTCATGTCTGTCTGGGCGACCTTATAAAACCAACGCTGTAAAGTCTTTTTTTAATAGTTCTGAATGTAAGGCCAATCAGAACAAATCTGGCTTGAGATAGCATAAATATCAAGGGAAGAACGTATTTACTTATGACTCAGTGCACACACTGTGAAGGGATTTGTGTGTGTATGTGTGTGTGTGTGTGTTTTCATCAAGGTCACTTTCCTCAGCTGCTAATTGGCAAACACACACACACACACACACACACACACACACACACACACACACACACACACACACACACACACACACACACACACACACACACACACAATAATCTTGAACAAGATTAATGCTTTCACTCTTGAGTGATATTAATCTTTTGCCCAATCCGTCAAAAACGGTCAAAGTTCTTTAAAAACCAAAAGCAAAATCCAAATGTGGGTTATAAATACACAACCTTATAAAAGTGTTTGTTCAAAGCATAAAACCTATCTGCTTTCCTGTGGGTGTACCAAATTTACTGGTGCTGGCAAACTCAAAATGACTCCTAATCAGAAACATATTGATGACTGTGATTACTTAATAATTTCAAAAGTGCACTTTTAGCATAAAAATCAATAACTTTTTGTGTCAATAAATTTTTTGTGTAAAATTCAGTGGTGTGGTCACAGTGTAACCATCCGTCCATTTTCTTCCGCTTATCCAGGGTTGGGTTGTGGGGGCAGCAGCGCAGAGAGACCCAGACTTCCCTCTCCCCAGCCACTTGGGCCAGCTCGTCTGGGGGAATCCCAAGGTGTTCACAGTCTGGCTGAGGAACATAGACCCTCCAGCGTGTCCTGGCTCTTCCTCTGGGCCTCCTCCCAGTGGGACATGCCCGAAACACCTCACCAGGGAGGCGTCCAGGAGGCATCCTAAAACCAAATGCTCGAGCCACCTCAACTGGCTCCNAACACCTCACCAGGGAGGCGTCCAGGAGGCATCCTAAAACCAAATGCTCGAGCCACCTCAACTGGCTCCTCTTCACATGGTGGAGCAGCGGCTCTACTCCAAATCCCTCCCGGATGACCGAGATTCTCACCCTATCTCTATCTATAGCTTGTATCCGTGATCTTGTCCTTTCGGTCACTACCCAAAGCTCGTGACCATAGATGAGGGTTGGAATGTAGACTGACTGGCAAATCGAGAGCTTCGCCTTCTGGCTCAGCTCCCGCTTCACCACGACAGACCGGTACAGCGCCGGCATGACTGCAGACGCAGTACCAATCTGCCTGTCGATCTTCCGCTCCATTCTTCCCTCATTCATGAACAAGACCCAGAGATACTTAAACTCCTCCACTTGAGGCAGGACCTCYTCCCCGACACGGAGAAGGCACCCTACCCTTTTCCAGCTCAAGACCATGGTCTCGGATTTGGAGGCACTGATCTTCATCCTGGCCACTTCACACTCGGCTGCGAACCGCTCCAGTGAGATCAGGAGATCACGATTTGATGAAGCCAATAGGACCACATCATCCACAAAAAGCAGAGATGTGATCCTAAGGTCACCAAAACGGATCCCCTCAATACCTCGGCTGCGCCTAGAAATTCTGTCCATAAAAGTTATGAACAGAATCTGTGACAAAGGGCAACCTTGGCGGAGTCCAACTCTCACCGGAAACGAGTCTGACTTACTGCCGGCAATGCGGACCGAGCTCTGGCACCGGTCGTACAGGGACCTAACAGCCTGTATCAATGGTACCCCATACGCCCGGAGTACCCCACACAGAAATCCCAGAGGGACACGGTCGAATGTCTTCTCCAAGTCCACCAAACACATGTAGACTGGTTGGGCGAACTCCCATGCACCCTCCAAGACCCTGCTAAGGGTGTAGAGCTGGACAGCTGTTCCACAACGCGGACGAAAACCACACTGCTCTTCCTGAATCCAAGATTCGACTACCCTCCTCTCCAGGACCCCTGAATAGACATTACCAGGGAGGCTAAGAAGTGTGATCCCCCAATAGTTGGAACACACTCTGTTGCTCCCCTTTTTAAATAAGGGGACCACCACCCCGGTTTGCCAATCCAGGGGAACTTCCCGGTGTCCACGCAGTATTGTAAAGTTGTGTCAACCAACGCAACTCTACAACATCCAGAGCCTTAAGGAACTCCAGGCGTATCTCATCCATCCTTGGTGCCCTGCCACCTAGATGCTTTTTAACCACCTCGGTGACCTTGGCACCAGAGATTGGAGGTCCGACCCACAGTGTAACATTAATATATCATTATAGATTTTTTTATTATAAGGCCTTGTTTCAGGTATTAAACATTTCTGTTAATCTAATCTGTGCAAACGAATTATAAAATAGGCCTTAATACTGTATAACTCACTTTTACATAGAAGAAGRTTTCACTTATTTTTAATGATGCAACATATAGATAAACATTTTAAAATAGAAACCAATTCTGTATTTCCTGCTCTGAAGATTATATTTTGATCAAAAATGAAATTGTTGTCTACATGACTTTGATGAAAAAAAATGCAAATGTTTGTATTTTTGCATGCATGTGCAGGCTCTGATTGTTCAACACAAATGTATCTTGTGCAGATGAAATTAGCATAAACCACAAAAGAGATTGAGCTCTTGGTATCCTCTTTACTGGCTATACGAAGAAAAAGCAGACATGCAAACTCAATCCTGAAGTGTTGTTGTGTAAAATGTCCAGGTCTGGGTCTGTTTTAGTCTTTGGAGCATTTTTACCCACATTAAGTGTAGCTGTCTTTAAACCAAAATGAATTCCCAAAGTCATACTGGTGTCAGGAATAGATGCTTGAGTCGAGCAGAGTTCTCTGCAGTCTAGCTGGAGCCCTGAGATTTCTAAACTTTTATTTTTTTTTTATTTTACCCATTCGTAGACAGAAACTTAAACAAGAAAGTGAAACACATTCCTACCCAAAAACATTGACAAACCAAACCATCAACATCCTAATTGAACTGTGACATCTCAGGACCTAATTAGTACAATTTCATTRAAACCAGACGGTCTTCACAGCTGGTTGAGCATTCCTTAGGTTGTCCCAGCCTCTTCCATGGCCTTGTTTTTCCTAAGGTTTATTTTTTTTCTAATCTTGACACAATTAGCATCAGGTCTCAAAGCATCTGCTTCTTTAAAAATATTTAATATTTCAATGTTCTTCTAATAATCCATTAAGCATGCATACAATAATACTATTTAAGAAAATGTGTTCCATTTCAGGGCTTTACTACACTGTGATTAAACTTGTGAGATGATAGAGCATCACAACTTCTAGAGATCTTAAAAAATACGAATTAGTGCTTAAACAGTTCTGTCTACCATGAAAGGTGCAATTAAAGGTGTGATAATTCTGGTGTAAATTTGGCAATCACAGATTCCAATCTGCTGCTTTTAAACAGATTATTTGTACCAATTCATGTGCGGCTCTCCAAGTTCAGGCAGTTTTCTACAGTAAATCAAACCTTACATGGCAAAAGGGAGATGAATATAAAACAAACCCGCCTGTTCAAGGATCCTGCATACTTTAGTGGTCTGTGCAGTCGTGCTCGATTGTGTTGGGCAAGAATGGAGGATTGTGCAAATATGTGTGTGTGTGTGTGTGTGTGTGTGTGTGTGTGTGTGTGTGTGTGTGTGTGTGTGTG